GGGCCGAAGCCTGAGAGTGCCGAAGCCGAGAGTGTTGAAGTCGTGAATGCTGAAGCCTAAGATCTATGGTTTGTCGAAGCCGAAGCCAGCGATCTAGAAAGAGTGCAGAAGCCGAAGCGAACGAAGCAAAGCATAAGAAGCAGTCGAAGATGCCACAGAAGCAGCGATGCCTAACGAAGAAGATCCGAATCGGACGAATAATAAGATAAACATAACAACCCCTTTCAACCTAAGAATCCTTGTATTCCACAATGAATGGGATTTGTATTTCAGAATAAGTTCTATCTCTTGGCATGCAGACCTTCTTTGTTGCACCAGTACCTAGAAGATCCCCGTATCGTCCATATCTCCCCGTCGGATCCACTTCCTCGAATGGCTTTGTGTCCTTGTCCGCATATCCAGCCTTACGCTCCGCATCCTCCCTGGATCTGTGTCGCCAATAGTAATCCAATCCAAAACCCTTATATCGATCAAATCAATACAAAAGAAGCACAAATAACAAGAAAATAGGATGTCATGTATTCTCTTAGGTGCTGGTTACTACAGTCATCGATCGTATCGCAGAAGATGTCGAGGCGATCCTTTGCTTCGATTCCGTGAGAAGCAGTCATAGAACCTTTATAGAAAGGCTTCTGAAGAAGACGATTGACAAAGCTTAGAGGGCATACGATCGAAGATCAAAGAAGGACGACGCGGCCGAAGTGAACAAAGGAGGACGAAGCAGCCCGGGACGAAACGGTAGAAAGCAAAACAAATGCGAAAAAAATAGTTCCTCCCTTCCCGCAAGAGGCCGAGAAGGGAATCTTGACGGTCTTCCAACGTCTATCAGTGGTTAGGGCAAAAAATTTGGCTCTGATAATATGTCAAAGTTTAAAGAAAAATAGGTTGAATTCTGAATAGGCTTGATTCCTTTTTCCTTTGCTTTCATTCCATTAAATAATAATCTTACAATTTATTTTAGGTACAAAATATTCCGCATAATCTAATCTAAGTAACTTAATAATGGATATTCTTAATCTAAATATTCAGCTAAAAGGGAAAAAAATCAGAATAAAGATATTGGAAATAACAAAACTCCTAATTGTAGAAAAATATTTAGCTCTCTGATTTCCATCCTTCCGGATTGACATCAACACAAGGTAAAGGTTCATGAAAGCAAAAATAAATAGCTCTATGAGAGTATGTATTTTGATTGTTCCAAAGACAAGTAAAATCACCCATAATAGGAACTTTTTAACTAATTTAAATGAAGAAATCAGGAGCTCTAGGAGAGAAAGTAAAAACCCAGTAAATATTAGAAATGATCTCACAAAGCTTAATATTATGAGGAAAATCAGACCAAGTAAAAATACAATTATCAAATTTCTCAAAAAGAGAAAAACAATAAAACCATGAAAAAAATTAAAAAATAAATTCCTATTATTAGTAACTTGAAAAGTTAATGAAGATTTGATTTTCTGAGCTAATTTAACAATATCTTTCTAAAAAAGAATATATGAATAATTAACATGTCAAATAGAACCATAGTAATTCATGCACCAATGAGAAACATAAGAGCAAGAGTTGAAAAAATTCCAAATTACACATTACAATAATATTATCTAGAGAAGGTAAACCAAGTCCAACATGATGCTTAGATAAAGTAATAGCATTCCACCCAATCATATGAAGTTTCTTGCCTTTATCGTTGCGATTACGGAAATTATTAATCAAAGATTTTTTTTTCCCTTAAACCCTCGGGAAGAATAGATGAATGAAATCAATAATACAAATAACTCCAAAAAATAAATTTGATGAGCTGAAGCCTACCAACAGTAGAAAGTAAATTTTGTTTCCAACCAACTAACCAAAATAATGAAACTTACCACAAAGTTTTTGACAATCAACTACAATTAATTTAGAAGGTTTAATAATAACATCAATATAATCTCATGGAAGATATTTTATAAAAAACCAAACATATTAAAATATTATTTTGAGTCAAGGAATCCACAAATTTCGAAAAGCAAATAGGAGATTTTGAAGTATTAGAATAAAGATTAAAAGCTCTACCATACAAGAAGAAATGTGGCAAAAGACATCAAATCAGCTTTTCGAAAAATAAAAAGATCATCAACATATATTAAATGAGAAAAATTCCAATTATTAAAAGAAAAAAACATTTAAAATATTATCAAAAACTTCATAATCAAGTAAATAAAAAAAAACGTTAGTGAAGAGATAAGAAGAGAGAAGACAAACTTGTCGAAAACCAAAGGTAGATGGGAAATAACATCTCATATAATTTTTGATAATAACAGAAAAGTTAAAATCAATAGTAAGAACTTCTATTGAATTAATAAAAATCAGAGGAAAACCCAAACATTTCATCCTATCATAAATAAAAGCTCCACTAACAATATCAAAGATTTTTTCAAGTCAAATTTATCATAAAACTTCTTAGAATATTTAATAGGATCAAAACCACATATAAGTTCATCAACCAAAATAATGTTATAAGTAATATCACGCCTTTTAATGAAAGCAACCTAAGCAGGATGTATAATCTTAGGAATAACTTTAAAACTGCCAGATAAAAGAATAACAATAATTTTATAAATGATATTACAAAGAGAAATATATCTAAAATCATTAAAAGTATTCACATCATGCTTTTTAGGAATAATAATAATGTCAATATGTTTAACTCTGAAAAGATATAGAAAAACAAAAAAAAAAAAACTAATAATTGCCACATAATCCCCACTTGTAATATGCTAAGTATCTTTACAAAATTTAAAAGTGAAACCATCCGGAATGAAAGATTTATTAGGACCAATACAATAAAAACCATGTTTTATCTCATCATCGTCCATGAGAGGCACATATAATCGTCATTAGAAATATAATTTCTAAAATAAAAAATATGATCATGATTAAAAAAATTAGAAAAAGAAAGAAATAGCCTCATTAACAATATCATCATGATGGTAAACATAATCATTACTAATCAAGATTTATTTAATAAAGTTGGAATTAGGCATAAATTTAGCTTTTTTATAAAGAAAATTAACATCAACTTTCCCTTTGAAAAACCAAGAACATTTAGTATGTTGCTTAGCCCATTTATAATCACAAATAAAGCTTTCATAATATCATCTTGTAAAATAGAACATTGAGCAAGAAAATCATCACATATAGAAAATTCTCAAGTTGACACAACATATCATGTTGTTTATTTTAAAATCATAAATATGGCTAGAAAGAGTATTAGAAGAAGACCAAATCCAACATTTTGAAGCAATTTTAATATTCTTGAACTTATTTCATAAGGCAAAAAAGGATCACCCTTAACCAGAATATTCCGCGTTTTAACAATACTAGCAAAAAAATGTGGGTAAAAACTCTAAAAATTCATACATATATCTACAATGAGGTCTAATAGACTTATAAACAAACAGATATAGGATGATGATCCCAAGAAATAGGATCCATAACTTTAAAAAATGAATGAGAATATGAATTAATTTCTAGCAGTATTAAAGAGTGCCCTATCTAGTAAACAATTAATAAGATTTTGCGATTGATTATTAAAACAACTATAAAAAAATGTGTATTGTGTAATTCAATAAGCCCATCAGGGGTGATGCAATTGTTAAAATCAGAAATTCTACTAAGAATAGGAGCTTTGCCCGCAATTTTTGCATCAAGTTTTCTAATGCAATTGAAATCACCTAGTAAAATCCAAGGCTCATTAAAATTCATTTCAATAGAAGTGATGAAATTCCATAAATCTTCACACATAAACATCATTTTCAGCATAATTAATGGTAATAAAAAATCAATAGAGGAAGAAAAAGAAATATGATCATGAACATATTGAGAGGTAATACTTAAGCAGAAAAATGTAAAACCTCGGAATTCCACTTGCTCCAATTTTTTTCATTTTCAGCATAACTTAAATATTGATTTTCATTCATTAGGAAAGAGCTTGAAAGTATTTAAAGTAATCCGATCAAAAAGAGAGAAAGAGGAAAGCTTGGTTTCTAGAAGGCATAACAGATCAGTCTTATTATCCCTAAGAAGATTTTAGCAATTAGCAATTCAGGCAACATTATTAAGCCCCTGAACATTCCAAGCACAAATATTAAGAAGTAACATTAAAAAATGATAAAGAAAAAATAAAAAGAGCAACAAAAAATTACAGAAATATAAAGACAAAGGAAGAAGGTTAATTGCTCTCTTTTAGTCTAATTTCTAAAAGTAGACTGAGAAGAACTCTTAAAGGTGGCATTATTCAGAACAGATATAGGAATAGAAGAAATGGGCCTACGGTTCTGCGTAATAGAGTTGTTTACCAAAGAGGAATTTACCAAACACTATCAAAAGGGAAGACAAACAACTTCCACAGTCTTACCCTCAATTCCAACATTAGAAATAGAATTAAAAACATTTCCAGAGTCATTATCACTAAAAGAATCAGCAAATATATTAAGATCAGTCGTAGATAATAAAGAAACATCACCAGAAACAAGAAAAACACTATTAAAAGGCTAATATTATCAGAATAATAATAGAAATATTATTAACACCGTTAGAAATAATACCCCGAAGGGGCCTAACATGTAAATCATGTGAAACAGGGATAACAAAATTACTAGCACTTCTAGGAGCTCTTATTAAGGATTTCTGTTTCAGCTTCATGCCCAATAAGAAGGAATGATAGGCATATACTTATAAGAAGACAATTTAGAAAAATTTTGAGAACCATGGGCAAAAGAAGAACATACTTTACAAGAGTCAAGTTTCCACTCATAAAAAGTTGTTGAACAATAAATTTTCCTTTCACGTTAGGAGTAATACCATCAGAAAGAGGAGAAATACCAATAAGAATACTAACCTTTCGCAGTTAACAGATCCTCAACAAGAGGACCAGGTTTCTCACAATCTTGGAAATATCTTTCTCTAACCAACAACATGATGGATGATTATGAAGTTTAACCCATATGGGCAAAGCCTTAAAATCCTCTTTAACTGGAGTAAAATCATGTGTCCGACATTTAAATATACAAGGTTTGTCAAAAATAAACCATGGAGCACCAGATGAAACTATATCCATGTCTTCAATGCAACTAAATTTAAAGAGAAAAAAATATTCTATGAGAGAGTTCTAGAAAGCCATTTAATTTCCAGATCTTATCAATGGTTTGCAAAAGGTTACCGTAAAACAAAAGACATATTCCATTGCTTCGAGCCCTATCAATTTTTTCCTCAGAAAATAAAATTTTATCATCTGCACTAAGAAAATAACAAAGATTAAAAGGAGAACTTGAAAAGTGAGATGATATCAAACCTTTCCAGTTAATAGAAGGAGAAGATCCATGAAGAGACCGATTAGAAGAAGAGAAGCGCGAGAAGAGTGGAAAAAAAGGAAGTATCCATATCTGTGAAGGGGCAAAAACCCCAAAAACAAAGAGAACACCAGATTAAGAGATAAAATAAGAAGAGCCAAGAATTTTCCTCAAGAAGAGAAAAAGAAGAGGAAGGCATGCAAAACCCTAGCAAAACCCAAGAAGAAGGCACAACGGCTTGCTCGTCTCTGAAGCCCATAGTTTTTTTCCTTCGCTTGAAAAGAATTGATGGTCAGAGTGCTGCATGTTTTTCTCACAACTACTTATGCCATCAACCAATATGTCAGCTTCCTTCTTGGAAGGATTGGTTTTTTTTTTAATATAGAATTTTGAGAGAACATAATTATAAATTCCCCTAACAATCAAAATTAAAATGTACTAGACAAGTTATATGAAGCTCAATTAAAATTCCTTTATGATTATTTGATTGAAATACTCAATAGTTAAATAAAAAAACATGAATAGTTTGTTACTTCATTTGTTTATGATCATAATAAAGCTTGATTAAGAAACTTACATTCTATCATTCACTCTAATGTTAAATCTCTACGCCTCAAAACTCTTATGATTGTATTATTGACCACCAAGCCACTTTGCATATTTCACAGCCAATGATTACAACTCCAACCTTCCCTTCTAAGCACACTCGCATCATCAAACTCTAAGCCTCATTAAGGCTTCGTTTGAGTGCGCTTTGCCTTTCAACAAAAGTCGTTAAAAACAACATCCGAAAAACTGTTCTTATAAAGTTATAGCTGGTAAAAAATAAATAATGCTTGAATATAAAATTCTTTTTGTGCTTTTTAACACTAATAATTAAAGCATTAAAAAAAAAAGACTAAAACAACCCAATCTATTGTTATCAACACTATTAATTTAAGAAAAAATTCTCCTCACGAGGCAAGCGAAGGAATAGGATTAGGCTTCCTTCCTCAGTGTGTAGGTGGACTCTCTCTTGAGGAAACTGAAGCCATGCTTCTTAAAGCAAGTAGAGCACTCAGATTCCCACCAAACCATGCTCCCTCCCTTCCCTCCCTTCATATCATGTTTTTCTCTGACTTTAGGAATGGAGAAAGCTGATGATTGGCTGATTTCAGGTGGGGAAAGGAATGTCATTGGAGGAGAGGTGAAGACGTACTTGAAAGAACATAAGCAATGGAAGCAATGGAAACAAGAGATGGTCTTCGGCGATGTTGGCCCAGCATCAAGAAGACCTGTAGCAGAAGTGCTTTCTAAGGAATCGGTTTGTGTGAGGTTATTTTGGACATTTTCATTTTCCAAACAGCGAAACACTAGGGGGACAGAACCGAAGCCGTGGAGATACGGCGTTCTGAAATGGTGAAGCAACACCTATGTGGTTGACGCATCTTGGGGAGATTGGGAAATAGCAAACATACGGGAATGATTTTGTCATCATTGTCTGCAATGAAACGGAGGTCTGACTTATTCTCAAACAAAGCCTAAGTAATAAGAAACTCATCTATCCATCTCACTTCTACATCATTCAGCCAAAAACCTGCTAGCAGCTCGATCTCTCCCGGTCACACCTACTTTTTTTTAATAAACCAACACTTGATACTTCTTTTAGCCGAATCGTAAGCAGGCGCAAAACTAGGTTATGTAATGGAAGCAATGGAAACACAATGGAAGCAAGAGATGATCTTCGGTGCTGTTGCCCCGCCGCCAAGAAGACATGTAGCAGAAGAGGTTTCTAAGGAATCAGTTTGTGTGAGGCTATTTTGGACATTTTCATTTTCCAAATAGCAAAACGTTGGGGGCGACAGAACCGAAGCCGTAGAGATCTGGTGTTCTGAAATAGTGATGAAACACCTATGCGGTTGACGCATCTTGGTTAAATTGGGAAATACCAAACACGTGAATGATTTTGTCACCGTTCTCTGCAACGGAATGGAGGTTAGGCTTACTCTCAAACGAAGCCTAAGTAATAAGAAACTCATCTATCCATCTCACTTCTCCACCATTCGGCCAACAACTGCAAGCAACACCATCTCTCCCGATCACCACTGTTTCTTTTTATTTATTTAATAGACCAACTCTCGATGCTTATTTTAGCCGCATCGTAAATAGGGGGCAAAACTAGGTTATGTACAAAAAATTGACCCCCCCCACCCACCCACCCTAAAAAATAATTTTGGTTACGCTCCTAATCATAAGTTTCTACAGAGATATTGGAGTTATCTTAATTATTTTATTAGTATATCAATAAACCATATATTTTTAATATTTAATAAGAATATATAGTATTTATTATCATGTAAAAAGTTCCTCCGTGGATATTAGACTTCTCAAAATTGTCATATTAGTAGATGAATATAACAATATATGTTCAATATTTTTTAAGAATTTGTAGTATTTATTATTATGCAACACATCTTTATTATTAAAAATATTTTTCTTCATAGTAAATTTTTTCCTATTTTTTCTTGCCTTTATATAGACATATATGTAACTACACAAAAATCAATGGAATAAATATGTAGCCCTTCTAGGCATTATATACGTATTCCCATAGTGCACCTAGTTGTATTAATCTCTCTCTCTCTCAAAATGCCTTCTCAAACAAAAATTCCCAAATTGCACTTATTGAGTATGTTCCCACCATTAAAAAAAGCCTTTCTACGGCATACATCTATAAAGCCTGAGCGCATTCTTTTTTATTTTTATTTTAATAATTATTTTTGATATATTTGTAAACACAAACGATTTAAGCGGCATACTCGTGATTCTCCAAAAGAAAAAAATAAAAATGATGATAAATTTAGCTTGTCCTTGTATATTTGCTGAATGAAGCCGAACTTGTCATCCAAATGATAGTTTAACTGTGGCCTCAATTAAACTGTTGAGAAATTGATAAATGCAAAAAAAATACAAATGGAATTTTGTTTTGGCAAGTTGTAGTGAAGATTAACGAATAAAAAAAGAAAAATGACAGTACTTATAATAGATAATTTGATTACACAAGAATTTGTCCGAATTGTGGGTATTTCTCGAGAAAAAAAGCAATGAATTGAAATGATGGATAACGTATCATTGGTCGAAGTCATCTCAATCACTAATATGAATTGAAATTTAATAACACAGAACATTATACCAAGCATTTTCTTAAGAAAATGTTGATTTTTCATATTTTTAATGATTGCAATCACTATCCTTAAGAACCTACGTTTAGCAAGATAAAATATGCCTTAGCTTCTTTATAACACTAAAGATTTTCCAATATAAAGTGAAATATGATATTTACTCTTACAAACAACATGAGTAGAAATGTAGGATAGAACAAATGCTTGGTGTACTGAATATTTTTCACCATTTATATGTAAAGGTGGAAACTGTAAGAAGCTATATCAATTAACTTTTGCAGGGTCTTATTTGTTCATTACTTCAATAAGCACTTTGTACTAAATATTTGAATTTTACTGCAATAAAATTGGTTTACAATACAAACTTCACAAGGAGACACCTGGTAAAGCATTACAGCATAAATATGGAAAACATCATGCAAGCCATAATATCATCATACTTAACTTCATTTATGCTGAGAGTTGCACAAAACCTAAGAAGCAGACACAATAAAAAGCTACATAATAGTGGAGCTCTACCCTTCATTCCCACTTGCTGCGTTTTGCAAAAAACCTTTGATATCAAAATCATCAGCCAAAGCCTTTCTGATAACGCCCTGCTCAACAAAGAGAGGAAAAAAATAAAATAAAATGAAGAGGCACATGCATACCACCCAATTCTTAATGATATCTAAAACCTAAACTTTGCCTTTTTACATTTTAATCACCCAAAATCTTTCATATTACATAAAAACTACTACTACATTAACTATTAAAAAGTAAAATACACCTTTTCAGGCATCTATAAGGTGACATGTAAGAAATTAATATTTAGGTATTAGATATCAAAATACATAAGAATTCAGTGGGTATGTATGTAAATCTTCCTAAAATAAATAAAATAGAATGAACTCGCATAAGATTAGAGGAGTGTTTAATTAGCGAGCAAGAAGAATAAGAGACCTTTTCAGTTATTATAGCAGTAATCAAGTAAGCCGGGGTAACATCGAATGCAGGATTCCAAACACCGATCCCTGAGGCCGCCACTTGCTTCCCAAGTCCTCCATCGGAACACAGCAACTCCTTCGGCGATCTCTCCTCTATAACAATTTGGTCTCCAGATCGAAGCGAGAGATCTATGGAAGTTACTGGAGCTGCAACATAAAAAGGAACCGCATGGTGTAATGCGCAAATAGCCAAATTGTACGTTCCAATCTTGTTTGCAGTATCACCTACAACATATCAAACATTAACAAATCTGACAATTCTGAATTTTATTTTGTTTTGGGTTTCATGAGATTACCGTTTGCAGCAATGCGATCAGCCCCAACTACGACAGCGCCGATTGTCCTTACTTTCATCAATGAAGCAGCCGCAGAATCTGCTATCAATGTTGCGTGGATCTTATCATGAACTAGTTCAAATGCTGTTAGCCTAGATCCCTACAAAATAGTAAAGGAGGATGGACATACATACCCCCCAATTCCTATATATTTATATACCTAACACCTAAACTTTAAGTTTTGCATTCATACCACCAATTCTTTCATATCACATAAAAAATACCATCATTTTAACTTTTAAAAAGTTAAATACATCATTTCATGCATAGATAAGGTGGCATGAATGCAAACATTGAAGTTTAGGTGTTAGATAAATAAATACATGGAATTGTGTAGTATGTATGTAAATCTTCCAATAGTAAGACAATCTTGTTTTGATGGGCATCATTATGGAAAACATTAAGGGAGCCCAGAAAGATCCAGGTATATTATGAGGTGGTGGCTAACATGTAAAGTAAACCCATTGAGAAAATATAAGGGGCATTTACACACATACCATCCAATTCCTACGCATTTACATATCTAAGACATAAACTCTACTTCTTACATTCATACCACCCAAATCTTTCATATCAAATAAAAAATATCACTATTTTAACTTTTAAAAAGTGTTAAACTTTTAAAAAGTGAAATACACCTTTTCATCCATAGGTAAGGTAGCATAGTTTAGGTGTTAGATATGTGAATACAAAGAAATTAAGTGGCATGTATGTAAATCTTCTAAATACAATTCAAAAACCAGAAAAGACAAAATGAAGTGTTGAGGTGTTATGTTTACCTGGTTAAAAGGACGTGTCTCAGTGCAGAATGCAGTCTCTAAAAATCCATTAGCATGAAGAGCGCGGATTACCCCAAGTGCTGTTCCATACCCGGCAGTGGCGAGGCTGTACAAGTAAACAGATAAAAGGAATAATAGGGCCTTCCTGCCAAATGAGATAATGATTTTTTTTCCACCAAATAGAAGAATAATTGAAAATTTAGAAAGAGAACCTGCCCGTGTTGCAATGTGTTAAAATAGATACTGTTTTGGAACCTTTCAGATTTGATTGTATATCATTCGCTCCATGAAAACCGATGGCTTTGTTAGTATTGACATCATCAATGAGCATACGTTCTGCGGCCGTAATATATGTCTGATAATACAAGAGAAAAAGGAGATAAAAGGTTAGTGAACGGTGAACATAAAGAAGTTTGCTTCTGCAACCAATTAAGAGTGAAAAAATAAATAAATAAATAACATGGATGATATATAGTCTTTAAGCCATTTCTAAAACAACAACAAAGATCCAATACAAATGAAATATGATGAGAAAAGCCCGAGATGCTGATTAAAAATACTAACTAGAAAATGCTGCAAAGAACATAGTATTGCCATCTTATTTCTCAGATAAAACAAGGAAAGTATTTGATCATCTGTGACATAACAAAAAATCACAAGAAACATTTTCTTTTGATAAATTTACATAAGCAGCACATGATTCATATGCATTAATATAAACTTTCATATTTACATACATAACACTTTAGTGTTTTAAACATATGCATGAAAAGGTGTACTTCACTTTGAAAAAGTGGTAATAGTGTTATTTTTTATGTGATATTAAGGATTTGAGTGTTATGCATGTAAAAATGAAAGTTTAGGTGTGAGATATGTAAATATATAAGAATTATGTGATGTGCATGTAAAATACCCCTTTTATCTTTTAAGGGACAGTAGCTGTATTACATACCTGAAAAACTAATTTAGCCTCATCAGTAGTCTCAACAGTTTTTAACACAAGATTTTGAAGTTTTGTAGCTGCATCAGAGAGATTTACAGCAGTCGGCCGGCTGCAAATAATGGAAAAACTAAGTTCTTAGAAACATAAAGTTCTAATTAAAGTTACAGCCTGATTCTACCTGGAAACAAGGTAATCTAATTTCTTGACAAGGAAAGATGCCGCTTCCAACGAAGTCCCACTGAAGTCAAGATTAAAAATTTCAACAGCTAGAGATAAAGCTGCTGATATTGCAATTGCAGGAGCACCACGAACTACCATGTCTCTGATCGCATTCCTAACGAGATTTACATAATCATTCTATTAAACTGGACAGAAGATATGTCCCAGGATAATAAACATTAAAATGAGAAAAATGTTTAAAGCAATGAATAAATGTAATAATAGACAGTATTGATCCAAGAAAATAGTCATTCTGTGAGAAAAATCCCAAAATAAGGGCAACTGCAACCAAATAACATTAGAATCACTAAGTCCTACTTAGTTCTATCCTACATATAACAAAACAGCCGCTGCGATTTAGGGGGAATATGGTTGTAAGAAATTAAAATTTTTGATTATTTTAGATAGTGTAAAATAAAGGCAGTATTTGAAATGATTTGGAGTTCTTTGGCTCAGTGTAAAACAAATGCATGAGATAAACTTTTATGTTTAATTTTAAGTAAAATAAATTTAGTGTAAAGCCAAATGATAGCAGTGGGTAGCAACTAATGTCGGCTGGTAGTGGCTAGCATAGGGAAGAGAGAGGCTACAACCAATAATGTGTCGCCGATGGTCGCAGTAGCATATGATAGGCTAAGCTGCATGTGCACAATGCATTTCAAATTCTGCAAAATTTAATGAAGTCCAAATACATTGAAAATAAATTAACTGGAAATTTTCAAATATATCAACAAGTAAGTTTACATTCCGTTTTCCTTCTACTGAACAATTAAATTTTGAAAAATCCTATATTCCTTTTACTTTGCATTCTTTCATCAACAAACCAAACAAACTCTTAAAAAAGTTACTTTGTTGGAATTACTAAATCTTTTTAAATCACCCAAAATTTCCAATGTGCATTAAATAGTCCAAAAATTTTGTTGGATCTAAGAATAGGTCAAACAAAAAATTATATGAATTTCCTACAACAACAACAAAAACAACAAAACCTTTATCACACTAAGTGGGGATGGCTACATGATTCTTTTTTCTCCATTGCGTCCTATATAGTTTCATATTTTCATTTAATCCCAATAAATTCAAATCTTTTTATATACAATATGCCCATGTCATCCTGCATCTATCTCTGCCTTTCTTAACATAAGTCGAATCTAAAACATCTACTCTTCTAATCGGATTATCAGATGGTCGACATTTAATGTGTTTAATGTGATAATGTGACCAGACCATCTAAGACGACTCTCTCTCATGAAGCTACACCAACCCTATCACGGATATATTCATTTCGCATTATGTCTCTTAAGTGTAAAGCCACTCATCCACCTAATCATTCTCATCTTGGCAACACTTAACTTAGCTTTATGCTTCTCTTTTAAAGGTCAACATTCAGCGCCATTAAGCATTGCTGGTCTCACCACCATCTTATAAAATTTTTCTTTCAGTTTAAGCGATACTTTTCTATCACACAATAGGCTCGAAGCATTCCTCCACTTCAACCAACCAACTTGAATTCTACTAATAACAACCCCATCAATATCATTGAACAATAGACCCGAGATATCTAAAGCGTTCACATATTTTAATAATTTGATCACCCATAGTTACATATCTGTCACTAGAGCTACCACTACTAAAATTAAATTCCATGTACTCGGTTTTAGTTCTACTCAAATGAAGGCCTTTAGACTCCAAGTTAAACCTCCATAATTCAAGTTTATCCTGAGATTTTTTCTCTCGTCTTATCCACGAGAAGGCTATCATCACTAAAAAGCATACACCAAGGTACATCCTCATGCAAGTGTCCAATAAAACCATCCATAACTAAAGCAAAAAGATATGGGCTTAAAGTCGATCCTTGATGTAAACCAACATATATAGGAAAATATTTGGTCAATCCTCCTTCTGTTCGAACCCAAGTAACAGTTCTTGTATACATATCTTTAATGACTTGTATATAAGTCATATCAACATATATAAGTCATTGTATATAAGTCATATCAACACATTTCTTCTCAAGAACTCTATAAACAATATCTCTTGGAACCTTATCATAAGCTTTTTCTAAATCAATAAAAATCATATGCAAATCCTCCTTATTATCTCTGCAGTTCTCCATCAAACCTCTCAATAAATGTATAGCTTCTATAGCAGACCTGCCCGCCATAAATCCAAATTGATTATGAGAAATATTTGTAATACATCTTAACCTATGTTCAACCTCTCTCATAATTTTAAAGAACGACACATCAACTTAATTCCTTTATAATTGGCACACTCTTGTGCATCCCCTTTATTCTTAAAAATGGGGACCAAAATACTCTTCTTTCACTCAGGTATCTTTTAGTTTTTAAAATAATATTAAAGAGTTTAGTAAGCCAAGAAACTCCCAAATCTCCTAAATATTTTCACACTTCAATTGGGATATCATCAGGCCCTACAGACTTTCCACTCTTGGTTTTCTTTAAAGCAGCCTCAACTTCTTTTTTACTAATACGATGGTAAAAATGAAACATTTTATTATTATTAACGATATTAAGATCACTAAGGTCGATCGTATTTTTCTAAACTTCATTAAAAAGCTTATCAAAATAACTCACCCACCTATTTTGAATATCTTTTTTCTCAGAAAAATATTTTTTTTACTATCATCTTTAATACACTTTACTTGAGTTAAATCTTTACTTTTCTTTTTTCTTTGTTTGACTAATTTATACATATACTTGTCATCCTCCTTAGTATATAATCTATTATAAAAATCACTAAAAGTATCACAAATTATTCTCTTAGAATTCCTATGGGTCTTTTGATATTTTCCCAATTCTCTAAGCTTTTGCATTTAAACCAGTTGTTATAACAAACATTTTTTCTATTTTATCTTTCTTGCACATTATTATTTCACCACAAATTATTTTTATTTATAGAAACTTTTTCTTTTGATTTTCCAAATACAACTTTGTCACATGTTTAATAGTTCTTGTTACTTTATCTCTCATAGAATTTGTTCTTCATAAACATCTCGAATTTTGAAAAATTAAATTTTATTCATAAAAATAATTTTATTTGTCTCTTTTAGGTATCTCCATCTAATTCTATGACAATGATTCCTAGTATTTTTTATTTTACAACTCTTATCTTAAAATCTAGAACTAAAAATCAATGTGAAGTACTTAAATATTTACTTGGAATGACTTTACAATCTTTACATTCTCGACAATCTCTTCTTATCATAAAAAAATAATCAATTTGTGTTTTATTAGCTCCATTCTTATAAATAATAATATGATCATTTCTTTTCTTGAATAAAATATTTGCAATAACAAAATTATACGCTAAATTAAAATCCAATATAACTCTACCTTCTTCATTAATCACTCCAAAATTGAGCCACCATTAATATTTCTAAAATCTTCTACCACTCTACCTCTCTACCAAAATGTTCATTTAAAACTCCTCCAATAAAAATTCTTTCTTCAAGAGATATCATTTGTATTAAGTCTTCTAAGTCATTCCAGAATTTATCTTTACAACCTATATCTAAACCCACTTGATGAGCATAAACACTTATAATATTAAAAATCTCAATATCAACAATAATCTTAAGGGCTATAATTCTATCTCCAACCCTATTAATTTTTATAATATTATCTTTCAAACTCTTATTTATAATTACAACTATCCCATTTCTAGAGTGACTCTTACCTGAATACTAAAGTTTAAAACCTAAGTTATCAATCTTCTTATCATTTTCTTAATGAATTTCCTAAACCCCATAAAATCAAACTTTAATAGGATTTATCAAATCCATATGTACTAAATCCTACATTCAACCAAACATGCCCTAAGTTTGACCACATCAAATTATCCTATAAAACAACCTATATTGGCTAACAGCAATCTACAAGCAAAAAAATTGTTTCAGACGACGAGGAGTTTTATCAAACCAGGACGTACTGCTAAGCGCAATTACATAATCGAATCAGATATTATAAAAAATGACAAATTCTGCTCAACTCACCATCCATCAGCGGCATTCAGGATGTCCAAATAAACCGTTTCCAGAGGAAGTTTTCTCTGCGCGGAGCCGAACCAAATCAGAGAAGTAATAAAAAAAAAGCTAGGCACAGAGACTTGAAAGGAGTAGAAAGGTAAACCAAGAATACCTGATCGAGAAGGCGAAGTAAACCGCGTTCGTAGCAGATGGACTGCAGCGGGCTGAACTGATCCGCCATTATTTTAAAGTTTAAAAGCCTCGCCCAAGTTCAGAACAGTTTTTGGTCGGGAAAGTGTTGGATGCAGAGACAGCTTAAAAGCTGGGGTCGACTGAGGAAAGGCGAGCAGGGAATCGGTACGCGGAATGTGAATATGTTGAGGAAGGAATGTGTTATGAAGGCTTGCGCAGTACTGCAGTAGTTGTTAGAGTTTTTGTTTTTTCTTTTTATTTTTTTAAATTATTTTTTAAGTAGGAGATTAAATACAAAACCCAAATCTAATACCACTAATTTTAATTTCTAACTTAGTTTTTAATGTGGCTCGACTTCAAAAAAAAATTGTGGTATGCATGCATATATAGTAATTAATTGATATGCATAAAATTTTTCATTTATTAATGACACAATTGACTTTACTTGAGGCATAATCAATTTCTTTAATTTAAATTTTTAAGAAAAAAAATTATTTAGAATCAAGATATTTATTTTTTTATTGAATATCATTTATTTAAAATTTATAATCGTACATAAAAAAAGTGGCAGTGCTGATTCATAAGAGAAGAATATGATGAAGGAAGACCCACCGACAGAAGACGGTGAGACTACTCACATATTCGATTGAGTGCGGCCACCCAAGCCAAAGCCAACAAGGCCAAAGCCGGTTGAGCAATGAAAGATGATCGAATGATCTGAGTTTGAATTGTTCGGTTATGGATGAGACAAAGAGGCATTAGTGTCAAACACCTCGAAGAAGCCGACCAGATGAAAGACTTAATCCCTCATCACCTCCAATCATATTGGTCATTTTCAGAAGTATCCCCATCCATTATCAAAGCTTGGCAGCCCGACTATATCATCCAACAGAGCAAGTTTTGCTGACCTGAAGCCAATCAAGTTTGGCCAACCAAACACACTGATCAAGCATAGCAATCAAATTGGTCCTACAAACTTGAAACTAATTAAGCTCAGCAAACCGAACCATAGAGCAAACGAGTGATAGGTTCATACCTGTAAAATACCTAGAATATCATATACATCTCTTATTAAAGCAGGGGCAAAAATGTAATTTCATCATATTGTACTCTCTCATTTATAAATAGGGAGATCATTTTATAAATAAAGGGAGATCAACAAGATTGATATGACATTATACTATTCATTATTGTTCACTCCTCTTTCTCTCACACACTCTCTCTTCATCCTAACCTACACTCAACTCCATGGGGTGTCATTCACAAACAAAATTAGAGATCCAACACCCTGAAATGTGCAGGGAGTGTGGATCATGCCACAGACAAGAAGAGGAGCAACCCACGAAGAAGAAACCCGAAACAGAGATAGCAGTAATATGAAGTGCATGTTTTTGGTTCTTTTTTTATTCGAAGTCTGTGGCTTGTCTATATGTGTATATATATATCATATGATTTTACCTTTCCAACTAAATCTCTAGAATTATCAAAGATGATCCGGAGAAGAAAGAAATCTGAATAATGAGAATACACGACAAAAATAGACAAACAAATTAAAAAGAAACTTGAAGAGCTTATATAAGGTAATCCTCGTGTATAAGTTCATAGTATATGTCCAAAATAGAATCAGATCAAAGTTTTTTTTAGATACAATATCCACGAAGAGAATCCCTATATAAGCAACCCATAACCAGAGAACCAAAAAGAACATTTTTGCTTCGGGTTCAAGAGTAACTCCCAAACAGACGTATCCCTTTGGTTAATTAAATCTAGGGGAATACAAACAATACTCTTGACAATAGGGGTCTTACTTACATTCAAGTGATGACTAATAAAAATGGGCGTCACAAAAAAAACAGTTATTTCATCGGAACATCTCGATGCTATCAAAGTTCATGCCAAATCATAGGAGTGGAGAGTAAGTGTCTCACATCCAACATAAGTGACGACTCATAAAAAAAGAGGCATATGAACATAATTAGGTTGTATCGTTAGAGACCACACTATGCTTCAAGGCATAACTGGGCCATTAGGATAGAGGGTGAATCATTGTATCCCAAATGAGCAGCGACTATTCGCAATGAAGATCTATGAAACAACATCAACGAGGTACCAAATGAAAAGAATGTGCTTAAAGGGGGTAAACAAAAATGTAAAGAAAGGGAGTCCTAATCAGATAGAGATCAACGGGATATGATTCTTGGATCCATCATTTCAAGCTATTATGATTTTAAGTCTACCTGGTTGTGAAGGTAGCGGCCCAACCCGATCAGAGACCTCTTGTCAGCAACCCATGTGTTGCATCGTTCAAGAAGACCTTGGTAGCCCTAAGTTCATAAGAAAGAAATTTATAACATCTATGGCCCTTTATAGGTAAAATTGATAGAAGTTGGATTTAGACCCGTTGATAAAGTGACTAGAATAGCCTATGGAAAGAAGGGAAAAGAGAGATCTAACTGTAAAGCTGAAAACACGCCCACAAAGGACTTACTCCTCATCTAGGTCGAGGAGCTTAGACAACGACCTAAATAAAAATAAGTATGCTTTGGCTAGTCGGGCTGAAGAAGCACGAGGGCATCTCCTCAAGATATACAAATATGATGCGGTTAGCTAATCAATTCCCAATCTAGAGGCCCTATTAATATGACTTGAGAGATATTTATGTTATGCATGTCATTTTAAACCACCTCGAAGGCCATGCAAACAAGTAAATGCATATTTTGAAAAGTTGAGATATTTTAATCCTAAGTTTGAATTTATCACAATTTTTATTAATAGGTTTTTAAAAAAATATATATATTTTAGGGTCCTTAAAGAGCCTAAGTTATATTTTTGTAGAACATCCCAAATAACTAGAAGGCAAGAAAGAAAACATTAGCAACACTCAACATGAAATAAATAAAGCCACATGAATAGATAAATGAATAGGTCAGGTTCTACTTTGTCGGCAACATATCTCGGAAAGCAAAAAGGGCAATCAGGCTGCACATATACATTTCTAATCCTAATTCTATTTTAATAAAATGGAAATGAGGCTTTTTATCTTGCTATGAGGAAAGAAACAACATGTTGTTTCTGTAGTTAAGGTTCATATTGTATACTCAAATTACGACAACGAATAACAAAGTCTAATAAAAATTTATTGGGCTTTTGTTGTGCTAACATTAGATTACTCATAGTGATCTTGTGTCCTGCACCAACGAAACACTTCACGAACATGTCTACTGGTTTGACAAATGTTTTGAAGTTGTCATTCTTCAAATTAACATACCATTCAAATGCAAATCATAACAAACTAATGACAAATAACAAAGAAGCAATGTTTCGTTGTTGCCAATGTTGCAACAAAGTGCTCGAAATTAATCAATATGTTGTCAAGGATTTCCAACTCCATTAAATTATTTAACTCATAGGGGGATGAATTCTTTTGGATAATAAATATACTTGTAATCCTTTGGATAAGATTTACCCTTCTTATGATGGTCTCTCCCTGTTATGCTGCAAAAGCAGCTTTGACCTCAGTGTCCACTAAGGACTGCAAATGGAGGTCAGAGGTAACATGTTTGGGAGAAGGAAAATTGGAATACAAAACGTAAATTTGTGCACCTCTTAGGTACAAGAAGTACGATGGACACAGTTGGATGTGTCTTAACCTATGTAGGGGGCGAGACTACATCTGACTCTACCCTATCTCCTAGTAAGGCTATAAACTGAGTAGTTAAAAGAGTGATTTGTCTCTATAAAAGAGCAATCATCTCATCTTTATTGTTATCCCCTTGATAAATTAGGATGATAATTTTAGTCCCAATAGACTCTAAGTGTTCTGCCTCATCGATATCTATGATAGGGTTATCAGCAATAGTCCTTTGTTGTGCTCGAACAGTCACTATCATGATGTGATGAGTGGACATCTTGTCATCGTGCTACTCTTCACCAAGAATGTCATCCTCATCGATGAATTCTTTGGGAACATCAAAAAGTTTCCAATATAAACCATCTTTATGACACATCACAGACTCTACATCAGGATTTCCTCTGGGGGGATTTAAAATGAGATCCACTGAAGGAATCACTCCCTTTAGGTCAAAATCTACGACCTCCTTAACAAGAGTTAGAACTAGAACATCAAGAGGTATAGTGGCAGAAATTTTCCTTAATCATTACCTCTTTGTCAAAACAAAGCGATAATTTTTTTCACACGTACTTATTTTTGAATGAGTAAGGTAAGTACAGTCAGAGATTTCCTCTAGGTCTCCCTTGATCAACATAAGATATAACAAATTTATTTTTTCTCAAATAAGAATAAAAATAACAACTATTTTTTTTATTCTTTTAATTAAAAGTTACATTTGGTGCGAGCGGAGCCACTACAATAGTATCTGGAAGAGGGCCTGGTACAACAACTTCAGATACTACACCAAGGGTCCCAGGTGATACCTTAGTGGGTTCTATAGTTTTGTACTACAAACGATAAACATTTTGGTCACGTAGCAGACCAATGAGTATATCTTGGTCTTCTGCTATGGAGACCCTAAGGGAAATATAAAAAATTCTACATTGCGCTCTTAGAAGTCTAAGAAATTTGATAAAGAAATTTTCTTTCAGTAATGGGACCCTTGCCTTCATAGAAGAGATAGCTCATGCGATCTTCTTTGATAGAAGATCCATGGTAGTATCATCAATATGGACCATAGGCTGAAATACCCTACATCTCGAGGATGATGAAATGAGCTTCTAGCAATCCTAGCTAGGACATAGTCCACGTAGCTAGATAAGACATAAAATGAATTCTCAGCCAACAGGATTTGAACTTCCTCGTGGGCCAAAGCTGAAGCAGATACATGCAAAGAGACCTGTTGTGAGTCCTGCTATTGAGATTGTAATAACCTATTCCTAGTTCTCCAGACTCTTTTCTCAGTTTAGATGTAGGGGAAGCCTCAAAGAGGCTCAAAAATAAAAGAAGATGGGTCAACAAGTGATACCATAAAAGCAGCTATGATACCTTTATAACAACAAGGTGGCACACCTACCATAGGATCAGAGATTCTTGAAATTTACTGAAGGACCACCATACAGTCTTAAAAAGACAGAAGGATGCTGCAACGCATTGCCAAATGGTATTGGCCTCTTCTTTGCAGAAGAAGTAATACTGATACGTGCCTCTATAGTAGAAGAAGTAGTTCTACGTGCATGACTCCTCTTCTTC